AGGAGAAATAATGTGTGAATATCTCACTGAGTGTAATGCAAGTATAAAAATGATAATAGAATGCTAACATTATTAGTTTAACTCAGAAAATTTAGTCGTTTCTACACTTAATTCGAATTTTCTCTGACTTTTTTGTTTACTGTTTCTATGTTCTTTTTTGTTTAGGATTTTACATTAGCAAATATCCATACAGAGCAGATTTGTCTTTTTTCCTCTGCATCTCACTTTTCTACAACTGAATGTTGGTGCAACTGTAAGTTAAAAGTCAAAATGGCGATTCAAAATGGCGGATATTCATCTTTTTTTTTCAAATTATATTTCTTAATGTCGTTTTCATAGGAGAAAGAATTTGTGAATATCTTACTGTGCGTAGTACAACTATGTAAAATGCCAACAGAACACTAATTTGATCACTTTGAATCGGAAAATTTAGTCATTTTAATGTGAAATGTGTTAATTAGCTCAAAAAGGCGATTTCAAAATGACGTCTTATACACTCGAATCTCGAAGAAACTGCTTAATTCTGGTTCGTTTTACAGAAAATTAAATTAAAGTTTGTTTTTTTATATATAGTATATATAGAATATTGATTAGTTCATTAAATATGAACAAACACAAAATAACTAGACAAGATTCATTTTTTTTCTGGAAATAGTTAAAACAAACTGGACTTAAGAGTTTCCAAATTTTTTCCTTCGTATTTGACCGTGTTTCAAAGCATTTGAGCCCCCGTCCACCTAAAATCACTTCTGAATTCTGTCTCTATCAACTCGCACTTCTACCTGAACATCCCTCGGCACACCATCGAATGACTGAAGAAATTCTTGTCCGATTTCATCGAACACTTTGTTCTAGCTTTTTAGCACTTATAAGAACTTAGTATTATCCCCTAACATCTTCTATTCCAGCTTCATTTGCTATATGTTTAATCAGACTTTTGGTACTTTCAACACTCAAAATGGTACCCTGTGTCAAGGATGACATCCCTCTTGGCATGTAAAAAATCGTTTCTCTGGAGTTCGAAAAAGAGTAAGCTCACTGGGGGCCGCCAGATAAACCAAAATCCTTCAAAAACCGATTATTCAAACTGATAGTCCGCCGAAACAGGGCTGAAAAATTGCCGACTCTCAGTTAAACAATAAACAATCAATCAACCAACACTCAAGGAACAACACATATATGTTAAAAGTCTATTTTGTTTTCCACAACCTTATGCAAAATAAATTAGAGGTACTTGAGGAATTACAATTGTAGCTCACTAATTGATACCCCCGTCTCCCATATGAACATAATGACAGTGTCCATGTTTTGCTATGGGAAACCCAAAATATGTGTTGGATCAAAAAGTAAAATAGGAGGTCACAATGAAAACATGTAATAAAGATTCTGTGAAAGTTTCATCAAATTTCATTCAGTGGTATGAGAGGAGTTGCGGATAAGAGATGGGGTACCCCAAACCGATTACAGAACCCAAAACCCAAACAGACGGACGGACGGACGGACATACCGATTACTCTATACCCTCCCGCTTTTCAAGCGGGGGGTATAAAAAATCTCTGATATTCAAGACATTGTAGTTCTTTATTTTGTGACCTCGTATATATTTGTTATCTCTTAGGGTAGAAAGGTCATTCTTTTAGCAAAATTCTCAAACTTTATATCTGGAATCACATTGTGTGCATATTATAATGTGTTTCTTTAGTTGTAAAATTATGCAATTTAAGAGCGCCTGTAGATTCCTCGTGATTCCTATCACTTACAAGCTTTCATACCAATAGGCCTAAGCCAATCTTGATTTTGATCTAGTCAACACTTCTCTTGACAACAAAATTTCTTGAACACTTCAAGAACTTTACAAGGCAACTTGATCCACACTTCTTTGTTAGGATAGTTCAAGGTTGTATCAAGAAGCGAAGGTTTTTTGTAAATTTCAAAATTTTTAAATTTATATACACTGTTCAATACAAAATTATCCGTTCACAGCATGGAATATTTGAGAATGCAGTTGAATTTTTGACTGAGAATAACAAAATTTAAATGTAGGGACTCAGAATCAGAGCTGGACGATCAAGAAAATTTATGGTTTATGTATATTATTTCTTAATACAATGTAATTAAATATATTTATATTTGGATATTATAATATATTAAGATTTATACACGATGTAACAATTACTAGCCCTCTAAATGGTGGTGGTCCAGCATTTATAAATCATACCAATTAAGGTATTTTGCACTAGACCTTCCACGTGAACATAAATAATTATTATTTTTTATATATATATTGGACTAAAAATAGATCAAGAATTTCCAACAACTGAACATTCACTCGCCTTAATGTTCGGGGAATAGTGCTCTTGGGGAAGCTTTTTTTCACATTGTCCGTTAAACAGCAATTATTGTAGGAAAATATTTTTATCTTTTTATATGAAGAAGCATTGTTAAATAGGTAATAGGTAAAATGTCCTCGGAATTGTCGTCAAAAATAATCTTAAAAACAGAACTAATTAAAAATAAAAATCATAAGTCATTAACAAAAATATCCTCCAACATTCATAGCATATTTGAACATTATTTAATGAATAAAAAACAAACTGTAATTTATTTTCTGCAAAACGAACCAGAATTAAGCAGTTTGGGTATTTTTCGAAATTCGAGGGTATAAGACGTCATTTGAATTGCCATTTTGAGCTAATTAACACATTTCAAATTTAAACGACTAAATTTTCCGATTTAAAGTGATTAAATTAGTGTTCTTTTGTCCTTATACATAGTTGTTTTACGCTCAGTAAGATATTCACAAATCCTTTCTCCTAAGTTAACGACATAAAGAATTAAATAATTTGAACAAAAAGATGAATATCCGCCATTTTGAATCGCCATTTGAACTTTTAACTTACAGCTGCACCATCATTCAGTTGTAGAATAGTGAGATGCAGAGGGAAAAAGACAAATCTGCTCTGTATGGATATTTGCAAATGTAAAATCCTAAACAAAAAAGAACATAGAAACAATAAACAAAAAAGTCAGAGAAAATTCGAATTAAGTGTAGAAACGACTAAATTTTCTGAGTTAAACTAATAATGTTAGCATCCTATTATATGTTTTATAGTTTTATTATACTCAGCTAGAAACTCACTCATTACATCTCCATTTTGAACGACATTAAGAGAAAATTAGAAAAATTGTATGTCCGCCATTTTGTATCGCCATTTTGACCTCTTTAACGCCATTTTCATGAAGGCCAGAATATTTTTTCGGATTCAGCATACTCAAAATAGGTTAAAAAACTATGCTGGACCAAATAGTAATTATTTGCCGTTAGAGATTATTTCTAGCCTTCTTTTTAAAAATTAGGACCAGACTGTAAATAATGATAATAATAATCTATTTTGTGATGAATAAATGATTAATTTAAAAATATGAAATATGATTTTTTATATTTCAGAATTTAGAAGCATCAGACATAAATCAGTTGAATTCTTATCCTATTTTAGGAATTGTAGTCTTGATTTTGACTTGTCTCAACGTAAGAAAACAGAAACTGTTTATTAGGAAACATTTTTTTCAATCAATTTCCAAGGCAAAAAGCAACAGTAAGCATTATTTACATTACATTGCATTCAGTTGTAAGTAAGATCTTTTATTAAGAACAATAAGGCAAAAATGTTGAATCAGGGAAATACCAATTTTAAATAAGGGAATACTCAGTATAGCGTATGAAATCTGAGGTTTTCTTTAGCCTATTATTTCGTTCTTTTCTATTTTTTATTCAGCCTATCATGTTGAATTTTATTTTACATGTATTCCTGTAATAGCCAATCATGTCTTTCTTTCGGTGTTCCCTCGACGATGACAAACGAAAATATTTCAACTGGGCTCATTTTATTGTCGGGGTTTCTGTCCATATTTTAGCAGGTAATATCTCAAATAAAGCTTTTCAGAAGGTTGAGATTCTTAAATAAATAATAAAGTATGTAAATAGAAATAAATTGAATCACATGAACTCGGGCAGTTTTTGTAGTAAAACTAATTTAGTAAAATGTGGCATTCATTTCAGTGATTAACATAGTTTTTAGTCTCCAATTGACAAAAGCTAGAGAAAAGATAGGAGGTACATACGCAATGTATGTGTATATTGCTGTATTTGTTCTATTCGAAGTTATGTTTGAAATTCTGAAGATGAGGGAACGCACTCAAACTGCAGGTAGTCTCTCTCTCTCTCTCTCTGTATGTGTTTGAAGTGAATATTTCTGATATAATTGTTTTGATAACCCTGCCTTATTTTAATAATTGTTTAATTTCCTTTTTAAATATAGATGCGAAGAATGCAATAAACATGACAAATATGGATCACAATGGGAAGTCTGAGAATTAGACCCCAAACAGGAAGGTATCTTTATTTGATTAAAGGCCTTAAATGACTGAGAATTTAGGCCTTAAATGACTGAGAATTTTAAGACACATTAGACAATTGATACATTGAAAGTTCCATCGATATAAAAAGAGTGACTACAATATTTAACTTATGCAGATTTGCGTGTATCTTATTTTAAAGTCTCAAAATAAAAAGTATTCACACCTGAGTGCTTCTCACACCATGCTATATAAACTATCTGCTGACCATTGTCCATGTCTAATTTAAAACATAATAGTTATCGCTGAATTATCAAGTTATTTTCAAATTTGTTGTCAAGCGGTGGGATTCAATTATTAAAACTTATAAAACAGATTTCCTTTAATCATAAAAATAATATATAGCAATGGGAGGGTATTTAAACCCTCGTAGCTTTTCGGCTAATTCGGAAATTGACCCTCATCCATCACATCTCTAAAAGATGCTTGGATGAGGGTTCCATTTTTCCTCATAGAGCCTCTAGGCTTTACTCAGGTTTAAATGGAATCTTCAAAGATATATGTGACAACAAATTTAGAAAATAAGTAACAACAAATTGAGCAAATTATAAAATAAAGGTAACTAGAAGTATATCAATACAATGATCCTACTTGAATGTCCCCCAAGATCAAGGATGAGAATTCCACTATTATGAAGAAGAAGCTCGCAACACAGTATCAGCAAAGGAATTTGATAAATCTCTTCTGTAGAAAGTATAAAAAGTTTTTGCGTTAGCCCAATTAGCAGTTTCAAGAATTTCTGCTGAGGTGAATGCACTTCTATAAGAATGTGCTGTAAATATATTATCATCAATACCAGATCTCTTTAAAATTTCTTTTAACCAACGAGCCACAGTGCTTGTTGAAATTTCGTTAAAAGTTTTAAATGAAAAAAATAATTTCTGATTTTCGTTTCTCTTGAGTAAAGTGTGTAACACACAACACCTCTTATCTGGAAAAGAACTGATATTTACTTGCTGAACTTCATGACCTGGTCTTGAAGTTTTTTGTAATTCATAAATTGTGAACATTACGTATTCACCATGATCAGCCATTTGATTTTTTTTTTAAAGAAACTAGAGTTTGAACTCTCTGGGCTGTAGTCAAAGCAATCAAAGAAGCTGTTTTCAAAGTTAAACGTTTTAGATCCAAATTCTCCAATGGATAAAGTGATTTCAAATACTCGAGCACTTAACCAACATCCCAAAGTCTGCTATATTGGTTTCTTATTAAGAAAAACACCTTTCAGAAATCTTATAATTGTTGGATCTTGGTTAAAAGAGAAATTTCCACACACGGACAAAGTTTGAACAATTGCAGCCTTATGAGAATTATTAGTATGATAAGAGAAATCATTTTCTGCCCACCATGAAAGATAATTTATGATCTGATTGCAAGAGGGTTGCAAGGAATTAATTATTTCTCTGATTGCACCAAATGACCCACTTATTCCAAATAAAATCATACTTTGTTTGTGCTTGGTCTCCATGAGTTTTTGATATATTCAATAGACTTCTCTGATGAGCCTCTACTTTTGAGTTTAAGCCTGACACAGGACAGGCGAAAAGAAACATCTTTTCTTTGTTCATAGGATACAACTGATTGCTGTGTGCTAGACGTAACAAATTGGTTATTACTGGTAATCGAATGGGGTTCCCTATTAACCTCCCTAGCACTGACTGGATGCCCAACTTTGGAACAATCAGAATTGCTTTTCTCACCTTGTCTTCCTCCAGTTTTTGCAGAATTCTTCCAATTAAACTGAAAGGAAGAAAAATAGAAGGATTTAATTGAGTCCAAGATATAGAAAATGCATCAGATGTAATTGCCATTGGATCTGGAAACCACGAAACATAATTATCTAACTGTTAATTCAATCTAGAGGCAAACAAATCTATATCAGGTTGAAATGATGCTTCACAAATATGATCAAAATTATCTTCATCAAGTTTCCATTCTGTGGAGTCACTAAATGGCCTTGATAAATAATCTTCACATTCTAAAATGATTTTATCCAGTTTTTCATCAGGTAAATATACTTTGAATTCAACAGAATCAATAATGTGCCCTAAGTAAGACAGTCTGGTTGATAGCACCAACATAGACTTTTCTCTATTTACACTGAATCCTTTTTTTGTGATAAATTCACCAGAAAATTTGCATTTGATTTGCATGCTTCAAAACTATCAGCTTCAATCAGAGAATCATCTTTATAGTAAAAAGGAGAAATCCCTTGTTGTCTCAGATAAGCAGAAACCGGTTTCATTATTTTGGTAAAGACTCTGGATGCAGAAGCCAGTCCAAAAATCAGAGCATTACAATGATATAAAATTCCATTCCCCCAAAATTTTGAATACTTCCTGTCCTTGTTATTAACAGGCACTGACAAATAAGCATCTTTTAGATCAATACTAACAAAAAATGAGTTTTTCTTAACAGATGATAAAACTGAATCCAAAGTCTCCATTTTAAAATGATGATATTGAACAAACTCATTTATTTTTTTCAAATTTATTACTGGTCTATATTTACCATTCTTCTTTTCGACTATAAAAATGTTCGAAATGAATTGTCCTGAATCATAATTCGAAACATTGGTTGCATTTTTTGTTAAAAGATCTTAGACTTCATTGTCAATTATTTCAAATTGTTCTTTATTAAACTTAATTGGGGTTGGTACCTTCTTTTGAAATGGTGTACTCTCAAATTCTATTCTATATCCTATAATAGTGTCCAAGGTCTAAGGATCTTTAGTAATTTCTTTCCATGTGTCTAATTTTTTTGCTAAACCACATTCAATAAATGCTGAACTTTAAATATTACTTACATTCAGTATCCTTGATATGTCTTTCTTGGGGCTGTTCCCCTGTAGCCTCTTGACCGTCCATTTCTTCCCCCTCTGTATGAACCTTGTGCTCTGCCTCTGTACCTGCCTCTGAAGTTTTTTGAATTGTTTAAGTTTCTCTGATTAACCATATTTTGACCTGCAATAAGTTGCTTGTTAATTTAAGAGGCCTCTGTTCTGATGGGAATAAAGTTTTATCCTCAATAGGTGTTAATGCCGAACACAATTTTTGGAATTTTTTATAAACATATGGTCGTAAAATATAACGACGCCTGACGTTTGTTTCTTACATTGCATTACAGGCTAGAGTGATGGCATCAGAAACATGTTTCTTTGCCTCGTGTTTCATGTCTAAATTATTTTTCTTAAACATTTCGGCCATTTCGTGCTTCTTGAATTGTTTTGTCTCTTTGCTGCACATTGACAAACAGATTATTCCAAATTTTAGAGTTAATAAGTGGGGGTACTAAGTTTTTACAATTTTCAATTTATTTCTTCCAAATATTTTGACACATCAGCTTTCTGTTCTTCCATGTGTGCAACCCATTTTTATAAATTTTGCCAAATTATCAGATACAGAACAAAATTTTGTCTCATCCTCAAACTTTTTCGGCATAGAAAATTAGTTAGTATCTTCGTCAAAAATTACTTCTGGATCATTATCCACCGAAAAAAAGATCAGATTGATCGAAAGTTTCTTTTTCCCTCGGAAAAAATTCTTCTATCGTATCTTAGTTTTCAAAACCTTAAGTACTCGCTTCGTTATTATTTGGATTTTCTGAACGTTTAAACAGTTCTTGGAGCATAACGTAAATTTGAGAAGAATTTAACTCTTCCTTTTGTTTTTTGTTACCTGTCATAGGGACATCGTCATTTTTTCGTTTTGTAGATTTCTTACTAGCTGGCTCTTTGCCTTTCTTGATTTTACTTGGGCCTTTCCCAGGCCCGTTGCTTGCAGCAGCATTAATGGGGTTCGAGTTACTGTTAGCAACACTTGCACTTCTTGTGGTAGGGTGATCATTCTCATCAAGTTCTTCCTCCGAGGCAAAAAGTTGCACTATGTCAGCATTTTGTTCATCCTCCGAACTTGATTCCGATAAATTTCTATGCATAGTAAGTTAACTCGCAACAACCCAATAAAAATAATATTTTTAACAACTGATCAACATGAAGATACAAATGTACTTATGTCTAACTGATAAATTATAATTCTACTTTGATCAATGTGGTATTCTGACTTATACACATATACAATTATCACATCAGATTGACAAATACAGTTTTTATGGTATGTTGTATGTTTTAGCAAGATTTACGTTAAGGTATATATATATATATATATATATATATATATATATATATATATATATATATATATATATATATATATATATATAGAAAGCACAAAGAAATTCACTTTTACATGGATACCCACTTCCGCCCCAGCCCGGGGTTGAACTCTCGACCTTCGGAATCTGTCTCCTAGCAGTGCAGGAACAGCGCGCTAGACCGCTCGGTTATCTAGGCAAGTTAAAAACTTGCTTTCGATGCCGATGGAATTCTCGCGGCGCTGTCCTACACTACACGGTCATTGAGAATAGAAGTGAGATACAGTTATTTGGACATAAGTTTTAACAGAGGATTGTTACCAATACATGTTGTAATGAAATTAATTATTATTTATAAAGCACATTTTACAACAACTCTTAAACTAACATAACTGCCCTAAGTGAAGAAATATTAATATAGAAAGCACAAAGAAATTTACTTTTACATGGATACCCACTTCCGTCCCAGCCCGGGGATGAACTCTCAACCTTCGGAATCTGTCTCCTAGCAGCGCAGGAACAGCGCGTTAGACCGCTCGGCTATCTAGGCAAGTAAAAACTTGCTTTCGATGCCGATGGAATTCTCGCAGCGCTGCCCAACACTACACGGTCATTGAAAATTGAAGTGAGATACAGTTATTTTGAAATTAGTTTTAGCAGAGGATTGTTACCAATACATGTTGTAATGAAATTAATTATTATTTATAAAGCACAATTTACAACAACTCTTAAACTAGCATAACTGCCCTGAGTGAAGAAATATAGAAAGCACAAAGAAATTCACTTATTTTTTTCATGGCGGCTTGAAACCTTTCTTGTACAAAATCCATGGAACTTAAGTCAAGATATTCATCAATTTAAATTAATCTGGGCAATAATATATACATTAACATAATATATACATTGACTGAGTTTGAGAGCAACTCACGTTTTGTCGGACCCAAGAACCAAACTGTCTGTATGAGATTGTTAGGTCGAAGGTAAACAGTTTAGTTCGAGGGTCGATAAAATGAATTTTGCCCTCAGCCTCAGTCAATAAATGTTTTATTATACCTTTTATTTTATTTTTTTATTAACATATATGTATTTTGTACTGCCTTTCGTGATGTTACCGCAGGTCCGTCACTGTTCACTATCTGTGGCGTAAGCGGTCCAACATGTCATCGATCGGTCCAACATCACACTCCGCGGTCAAACATTGATTTTTTGTATGCTCGCTCAGCAAAACATTAGAAATATTAGACATTTTTCATAAATGTTTGTATAGGAACAAATTTTTAAAGGTATAACAAATTAAATTTGACTACTCATCATGAAAGTGCTGCTTACCTCCAGCTTAACTTCATTGCAGACGTGCAAATCTCATGTTTATGTATTTTAATCAGAATAATAATATTATACTAGTGGTGAATCCTCAAATCTACAAAACCGTTCACGGTAGCTCAGTCGGTAGAGCGCTTGCTCCGTGATCGGGAGGTCGTGAGTTTGCATCTCGACCGCGACCGGCCTAGTCGTTAAAATGGGTAGCAACTGTTCCTTCGCCATGCGCTCGGCACTTTGAAGTAAAAGTTGCGGGTCCTTCGGATTAGACCTTAAAAACCGAGGCCCCGCGTCAGCGGCAGGCGTTGGCACGATAAAGATCCCTCACTGCTCAATGGCCCTGAGTGCAGAGTAAAGGTCAAAATTTGAAGCCCTTCACCGGCATACGGTGACGTCTTCATATGAGTGAAAAATTCTCGTGAGGGACGTTAAACAATATACAATCAATCAATCAAATCTACAAACAATTCTAAATGAAGAACAGTTTTTATAAGCAGCCATATTCTTTTTTACTTTTATGAAGTAGGTTAAGTGGATGAAAAGTATTCATGCAAATACACTTAAAACTGCTCTTTGATATTAAAAAGTTATTACTCTAAGTGATATATACCCTTTACATAGTGCAACAGAAGTGTCCAAAACGCAATATGATTATATAAAATGTGGAAATACATTGTTTTATGTTCATGTTTCAAAGCGATAGCAAACCAGTGGATAAGAAAGGTCTCTACGGACCCTCGGATGTTGCCTAATTATGGAACTACATGTTTATAAATAGAAGCAATGTTAGTTTCCCTTTGAATTATGAAACACGTAAATTAATGCTTCTCTTTTCAATCAAACTTTTGACACTTAAAATAATTTCCGCTATAGTTTAATTTGGACAAGGAACATAATCTTATTTATAAACTTGAAATCTGTGTTCTTCAGACAGCTGTCATGATGATTTAAAAAAAAATATCCTATCTATTATATTAGAATTCTACATTTACGTTAAAGAATCTTTAAATTGAAATGCAGTGCGATTCGTGTTTCATTGTTACTAATAACTGTTTGTTTTCCCATATGTGTTAAAGAATTGTAAAGGAATGTACAGCTAAATTGTTAAATACATATTGTATTTTCAAATTTGGACCATTTGGTCTTTCTTTCAGACAGTTGAATCTTCTCGAGTGATTCTGTTGCAAGTTACAAAGAAATAATAAATATCATATAAATACTTTGTTTGATCATGAATGTAAAATGCATGCAAACAATTTTGGAATCTTTAAAAATATGTTTGTACCATTATACATGTTTGCCATTACTATTTCGTAACTATTACTAATTTGTATAATGAGCGATTCAAAGCCGAGTCTGAGTAAATTTTGAATTTTGCCTTTGGACACTATTTTCTTTAGTTATTTGACGCCACGAGCGTCACGCTATTCATAGAGGGAGCATTACTGAAGGAAAATATTAATGTGTTTACTTCCTTTTAAATTTTTTTTTGCATGCACCTGTTTATTCTTTGAGTTTCCCTATACAACAATTTTTTCTCTGCGTTTCTGAGCTGTTGAATTGATCCATTTGTATTCTACAAAAGGGGTGACATTACCATTTCCTACCGAATATCTTCGCGCTTTATTCTTGTATTCGTCTATAACTTTTTTTGAATGGGTGTGATAACTTCCATTGAAATCTATAAAGTTAAGTTAAAATCCTTCTTAAGGTTCAACTACAAACTTTCTCCTTTTTTAATAACACCATTACATACATGTATCAGATTAGAGGTACTGTGAGCAATGAGCTCACTAAATGATACCCCCGTCTCCCATATGATTATAATGGCTTCCTCTCTATATTGTTTTACGGTAACGTGTAAAGAGGAATAACTCGTGGTGTCCCATGTTATTCAGAAGCCGCCACACCTCACGTCATAGGTAAGAATATAATGGCAAAGTCCATGTTTTGCTATGGGAAACCCAAAATATGTGTCGGATCAAAAAGTAAAACAGGAAGTGCACAATGGCAATATGTAATAAAGATTCTCTAAATCTCATTAAATTTCATTAAGTAGTATAAGAGGAGTTGCGGATAAGAGATGGGTACCTCAATGTGTAACAGACGGACGAGAGACAGACGGAAGGACGGACGGACGGACATCCTGATTACTATAACAAGCGGGGGTATAATGACGTCTGTAATTCTCGAGTGGGATTTTAAACAATAATATTCGTTTAATTGATCAATCTTTATATCTTTAGACACGTATTTACAATAATTTAATAGACTCCACAGTAACAAGAAAAATTGTGTGCAGGTTTACTTTAAAATGATAATCTTTTCTCAATATTTGGTTACTAGTAATGAAACACATGGAGATACCGAACAGTATTCAAAATCAAAAGTCCATAAAACATTACAAAAAAAGCAGAGCAAACAAGGACCTCCAAAACATCGGAGGTGGGATAAGTTGCCATGGAGGAGTGAGCATCCCCGGCCGACCTGTCAGACCCGCCGTGTACATGTGCTCCTTGTCAT